AATATGTCTCTAGAGCACAGACAGGAAGTTCATGCTGGTCTGTCCAAATGACTACATACTCATACTGTCCTCTCCCATATCCTTCCTTTCTCCTACCCCACCCAGTTTCATCTCTTTTGCTCTCATTTTAACTTGCCCAGAAAGAACTTACTTTTTTCCATATTTGTAAAGCACAATGTATCTCCATGTTATCACAAGTCTTTATTATCGGATGTGGGAAGAGCTACATATCCATGGTACCATTTTATAACCAGCAAAATTCAGTGTGATTTGTCAATAGCATGATGCTATGCACTAAAAGAGAATTCTAAACACACAGTTGTTCAGATAAGAGCTCAAAATAGCAATTACCTATCGAATACTAGAGAGGTGTTTGAAATTTCAGAGACTTTAAGGCTAGAAAGAATATATGGTTAGATAGTTTGACCTGCCAGGACCATCCCTAGGGGACTGCACACTGCAGGGCTCAGGACAAAGTTAGCCCTGACTGGCTTGGGGTCCTGCTCTGCAGTAGAGTCCCAGGCAAGCAGGCTGGTAGCACCCGTCACATACCTATCTCCCATGCCTATATCTTCTGATTTGCGGAATCCCAGGGACAGCTCTGCCTTCTGCATAATTGGCCAAAGACGTAAACCAGTGATGCCCACATCTAACCCATCTCTTTTGGAAATACATCTTAAATCTGGATTTGAAGACTCAAAGTGGTGGAGAACTCATTAGATCCCCTCGGTAATCTGTTCTAACGATTTGATTACTCTCACTGTTTAAAAAAAAATACACCATCTTTCCAGTATGAACTTTGAAGCCTTCAATTTCCAGACACTAGACTTCGTGTTTTGTCTCCGCTTGATACATTAACGTGTCTTTTACTATCCGACAGCTTCTCCATGTGTACACAATGGTATTCCCCCCAACACCACCAACCCCAAGGACTTAATGCTAAATTTCCTCCTATTATAAATGTTAATTTCAAATCCCTGAAAAATAAGGTTAATACTAGAAATGTTTAAAAGTTTTGGCTATCTATGGTGTAACAGTAATCAAATTAACCTCTCTCATTAAACTGAAGGGAAAGCAGCAATTCGAATATAGGAATGTTTCCTACAAGTGCCACTAGGTATACATAAAGCAAAGCAAACAACTACAACAGAAAGTGTGAAAACAGGAGAAATAGCAATATGCAGACTACAGACAGGTAATCTGAAGACCAGAATCCTTACTGAAAGAGTAGGGATTTTGTTTTGATTTTTAAATACAGAGCTGTTTCTACAAATTAGAAAGAAAATATATTTCAAACCCTTTTACCTTGCCTCTCTTAAAAATAGCCTCATTCAAACCCTATTTATTTTTTAAGTGGCAATGTTGCTTGGTGAAAAACTAAGTTGGTTAATTTCTGTGTAATTACTATTAAGTATTAAATTTTCCACTTCCTAATAAAAAGCTAGTGTGTGTCTTAATTTTGTTTTGACATACTTACTGCCCATTGATGAGGCTTTTTTGGAAGCAGAAATCTTGCAGCATGAAGCAGAATGTAATCTATCGTTCTGCTGTTTAGTCAAATCCCTTGTACAAAGCCTGACAGCTTTCAACCAAATATAGCACTCTCACAGAGGTTCTACAAACATCAACAGATAAGCTTCCTCACAACAGGAAGTGTTAAAGACAAGAGTTTTGATGTCTACAAAGTCAGTGTGGATAAAAAATTTCATATACACAGTCTACAACAACTTCAATGGGGGTAAAATGACTGACAGACTCAAGTTTAAAAACCATAAACATTTCTATAAATTGAGCTGGGAGCAGCTGACCAGACTTTACAGCTTGCTGCTATCACTGACACACCTACTGATCTATAGGTGATTTTTGTCTACTTTGTTACAATTTTGATGAAACTTCCTTGTACATATTTTTACAAAGATCTTTTCCCCAGTTTTCTACTCAACATGTTAACATCTCAGAAGAAACTGGTTGTGCTGGTAAATATTTGCACAGGTGTATTTTACTCAGTCTCATGTTCGTTCACACACACACACACACACACACACACACACACAATGGGAGAACAGACTTATTTTTAACCCTTACTGTAGTTACATGTAATAGATTACTAGAACATGCATTTTCAAATTGCTTTGTAAAAGTGACAGCTGCTTAAAGCAAGTTTCACTTCTGTACAGAGGTTTCACTTCCCCATTCCTGACTGTCATGACCCATCATGCACTGTTCTTTATCATGTATCATTCTGAGTAGGGCCTGTGAATTTTCTTCCCTACTCACTCCAACAGCAAATATAATAGAGCAGCTGACACTTACGGAGAAAATTCTTTGAAATTGTGAATCTTGGAACAATGAAAATTCTTCATTAGTTCCCAGGATGATTAATTCGATTATCTATTAACACAAAGTTCTTCCAATTTTCCATCAACAAATATTTTTGTATTTTCTTTATTCTTCTTCTATATTGCAAGTAGGGATGCAAGTGACTAATCAAGTAGTCCACTATCCAATAAGTAAAAGCTTACCAGAAAGTCGACATTAGGTGACTAGTCACGTCCCTCTCGGCTTGCTGCCTCTATCAAACGGGCAGCAAGAGGGACAGTGAGACAATGGGCTCCCCCCTGCTCCAGCTATGTGGAACAGGATAAGGGGGCAGCTAATAAGCAGGGATAAGCAGGGACTCTTGTACATTGCAAAGGGTGGAACTCGAGCTAGTTCTTACTGACTAACTGAATAGTCAATGGAAATCCCATCAACTATTTGATTAGTTAATTAATCAATATCGAACATCCCTAATCACAAGTACAAACAGAAGTCAAGAATGAATCCCCACAATACAGGAATGCATGCATTTTAGAAGTCTCAATGTGTCATCAGTTATCTGGTTTATAGACCAACCCCTTTCAATGTAATATATTTGAGTTTGTCTATGTCTGTCCAAAAATTCTTTCTGAACAGTAAGAGCTAGGACCACCAAATTTGGTATACAGATTCCTCTTATCACAACTTAAAGCAAGGTAAGCATTTGGTCATGCCAGGAAAATGGGAGGTGCCAGGAATGGAAATGCTTCTCAAAAAACCTACAGAAAAAATAAACTTAAAAACAACAAAAGGTCTTGCTAGCACTTTATAGACTAATAAAACATGTATATGGTGGTATGAGCTTTTGTGGGCACAGCCCACTTCTTCAGACGACCAGGCAGACTTGCCAGGAAAGTGAAAGGGGCTGCCTGGGAGTACATTCCTCCATCATCTGAGACTAGCCCAGCTCCAAGCCTTTCCCACCACCTCCCAGATATCCTTTAGGGAGGGAGGTGGGGGTTCATCCCCTCTCTCCTCTCCGCCTCCCCCCAATTCATACAGAAACATTGCTTTGTCAGGGAGAGAGGGGAAGTGCACAGTTTGCTGCATTCCTCACTCTGATTGGGCGGCGCAGGGGGCAGATTAACCTGGACCTGCCCTAGCCAGGGGTCATGTATATCTTCCCCAGCTGTGCCTGCTAGAGCTGCAGCAGCCATGGAGAGGTGCTTCTCATATGGCTCCAAGCTGCTGCAGTGAGTGCTAGGGTATTCTCTCTCCCTAGTTCAACTTGCATACTGAACTTCTTACTCCCACAGGACACCTCAGCAATGCTTTTAATGAAGAAAATCAAAAATTAATTGGAGTTAAGGACTCAAGCAATGCCAGGCAAATCTTTTAATTTTAATATAAAATAAAGAACTTTAGCTATATATAATGATTCAAAATAGACTACTACTTCCACCGTACTCTAAGCCTGTGTGAAATCAAGTTCTGGCTTCAGGTACCAAGCATCATGAGAATTCCTTACACAAATAATTAAGAAATGTTTCATAAATGACATTTTAAACGTATCATTTTAAACAAATAAATAATTGTCACGGGCAATTATTAAGGAAAGGAATATAGGACTGACAGTGAAGACAGGCATAAAGTGGAATGACTTCATTTGTAGTGCAGATGTTTATGGTAGATTCCTGGGGCCATTTTCCACTGATGGCATCTTATGCTTTTCCGACATGTCCTAAGAATGCCTCGAAGATATTACAGCAAACACTGTTCTACAGTTGGGTTCTAACACCCAGGGTAAAATTAAGGAGTGGGGGCAGCCCAGAAGTAGATCTCCCATTACACCTGTTCATCAAATCTGTTCTGATTTTGGACTCTTTCCAGCTGCAGAAAAATGGACCAAATAGTGAATAATCCCTATGCCCAACTGTTCAGCTAAGTGTTGAAGAAAAGACGATGAACAGAGACCCAGGACTGGAGACTGTTCATTACTCCTGCTCAAACCCCTTCACAGAGCCAGCAGAAAGGCAGACAACGAAACGGACAACAGCTGGGTAGGAGAAGGTCCTTTTGGTCCACTACAACTGGGTCTTGTTAGCATTCCATGAAGCAAGAGCACCAGGTGGCTTCTTTCCCACCCTTATACAAACATGGAAGCAAAGACTCCTTGGGAATTTGATAGCAAACAAAAAGGAAATGTGACATCTTCTCAGACCCTTCTATACAAGGGGTCAGACGACAGTCCACAGGATGAAGCAATTGGAACTGACAGATGAGCAGGAGACTACAATTCCTTACTTCCTAGGATTTACTTCATGAGGAAATAAGTGGGGTAAACAGGAAAGGAAAATACTTGGGTTCTTTGTAAGTTTCTACGCATCAACAACACTTTAGAAACAAAAATCAAATCTTATATTTAACATTTTAGGGCCCAATCAACTGGCTTCACAGCAAGCAGAGTTGAGTCTATTTGCCTAACATGATTCTCCACCCCATTCTAATGCCTTATACTGTATGGACAACATGGCTGTTCCTTTTACTTCCTTTAGAATGTCACAATACTAACGATGGCCTTTAAAATAAGGCTTCATTTTCATAGCATGGCACAGAACTTTTACTTCAAAGCCATTATTTCCTATTTATTTTAAATAAAGACAAAAATACAGAAGGTGGAAAGAACTGAGGCCTCTACCTACCTCATCACTTTCATCTACTTCGATACCACCATCTTTGTCATCATCCATTTGCTTGTGGATTGTGCGGAGAGCTTCCAGACTGAATCGATCCTCCTCAGTAAAGCAGGGTGGACTCAATGAACTGCAAGGATCTGAAGGACGAACAAAGAAATATTAGGTTAGTGTGTTGAAACATCAATTTCCAACAAAGGACGTGCCTCTTCCTCTCTGAGGAAATACAGCACAAGTGACTCCATCTATTTTCCATGTTAAACGAAATATACGCCTTTATAATTTGAATACAGAAATTCTATGTGACTTGACTACATACACCTGAATTTTGGCAGCTTCTTACATGACATTTCTTGCAGGAAAAAAGGAGTGAAGTGAGTGAGTTCCTATAGGGAGGAGAGTGAAAAGAAGAGGAACATACCTCTCTTGGAAAAGAGGGTGGTTTGTTTCCCCTCCACCAGGTCTCCTTTCTTCCTTAACTACACTCACCATCTTCTCCTCTTCCCAACTCTTAGATAGATTATTCCAACAGCCTGTGAACCTGCTGCCTTCTCTTCCTCATCTAATTATCTGCCAGGCAGATAATTTTAATTTTATTTTTAAGTTGAATTCTGTACTTATAGCTTCACATTTTGACCACAAAAGATTACAAGAACAGAAAAACCTGCTCAATATCCATAGAACTTCTGGATGTAGGTTACTCTAGAGAAGCTGCAATGAGAGGAAACCAGACATGGCATAGCAGGCAGAAAACTCAAGTCACTCCATGTACAAAACTTGGGGGCTCCATAAACTCATTTCATGGCTCTACTTTATAGATCATATATTTTAGGTTTTCCCTGTCACTGCTTCAATAGCTATGTTAAAGGCACAAAGTGCTCTGCTTTCTTTCCGTCAGGCACAGAGATTAAAAACACCTAAATGAAGCCATACCAACAGCCTCTGTTCTAAAAGACCATGTCTCATAGCAATTGGCCATTTATTAGCTAGATATATTGTACTAGGTCAGCGGTGGGCAATACATTTTGACGGAGAGCTACTTCAGAAATTTTTAAGTGGCCCCAGGCTGCCCCGGAAGGGGTGGAGCCTCTTGCAGAAGAGGCAGGGCCAGGACACTTCCGTGCTTCCCCACCCACAGACCCTGATTGGTCTGGGTGTGGAGGAGCATGCAAACTCTTTTCTTTCCCCCCCCCCACCCAAAAGAAACGCCAGCTGTTCGGAACAGCTGGCAGTTCCCTCTAGGTACCCATGCCGCTAGCAGTGGGAGGAGACTTCACATGCTTCCCTATGCTAATCTCCATTCAATTTGGGCCTGGGGAGGGGAAGAACATGAAGTCTCTCGCTCCCTGCTCCTGCCCCACAAGGAAGCACTGTGCTTAGAGTCAACCGCCATCTGAGCAGCAGCTGTCAGTTGATTAAGTGCTGAGCACCTTGCAGGGCAGGAGGAGACTTTGCATGCTCCCTCCCACCCCCCAGGCCAATCAGGGTTTGGGGGCAGGAGGAGTATGTGAAGTCTCTTCTCACTCTGATAGGAGCCTGCAGCACTTCTATGCACCACACTCTCCTTGCAGGGCAGGGCAGGGCAAGGCAGGGCAGGAGGAGACTTTGTGCACTTCTCACCACCCCCTGGCCCTGATTGGCTTGGGGGTGGGAGGCACGGCAGGGCCTCTGCAGGCCAGATCAACTTGCTTGATGCACCAGATTCAGCCCACAGACGCACCCTTGCTCTAGATCCTTCACAGATATCTATATCAAATGGCAGTTAATATTCCATACATTTAAATGCAGCCATCACTATTTATTTAGCCACCAAAACGTATATAGGAGGAAAAGCATCAGCTTATGGAAAACTATATTCGAATAACAAGTCAGGTGAAACATTCTCCTCCATTATCAAGAATGCAATGAAGTGTTAAGCTGAGTTGATGGTTACTATGGACAGAGCAGCTGGGCAGCTCATTTCTTTCAGCAATACATATGAAAGATGTCAATCCAAACTGGAGCATTATGTGATCATTTTTCACAGTGTGTTTGTTAAATAACTACAAAAGTTTTCATATAGCTACCAAGAAGCCAGGACATGAATGCATGAATGTCAAAAATGATACACAAATACATGCATAAGTGACAACAGTGGAAGAATTAGCTAGTTTTCCAACATCCAAGCTGACTTCTTAATAAATTACAAAATCCTGTATTTCCAAGCTCTATAGCACATCCCATGTACTTGGGATTGAACAATTTACCTTATCAGGTACTTGGGATCAAACAGTTACGTAAGTACCCTCATTTGTAGGTCAGATGTGTCCAGACTGTTCTGCTGCCTACTAATAACTGTTCTAAATGATATTTATGAAATAAAATTGTTATGCAGAACACTTAATGTAATAACTTTCCTTCACATGGAAAGGTTTTGCTACAAATAGTAAGGAAGAGGTTTCCATTCTTGCTCCTGTCCCCCGCCCATCCCCTTCAAAAGCAACTTACACTACAGTGTGTGTTAAACAAGCAACATAGTAGAAAATACATTTTTTCTATATATTTCTGCGAAGACACCTTCACTTTTATCCGTCTCAGATAAAAAAAAAATCTATTACATCAAATAGATCTATTACATCAAAAAAATTATTTCTGTACTATAACAGCAGTGCAGAAGTGTGTCTGACTGATGGATCTATATTTAATTACACCTGCTTATCTACTTTCACATGTAGAACTAAACCAAGTCTAAACTAATACTGGCCAAAGTTATCAGTTTAAACTCAAAGCATTTTAACTTTTTATTGAAAATATCCAAAAAAAATGCCCAAAATTTATCTTTTTTTATTCCAGAAAGCTTTAATCTGATCACAAAGTTTTCTTTGCTTAAGTTTAATTAGCTTCTTAATATCTTTGAGAATGTAATGGAGTGCAAATGTCTTTTCAGATATTTGCCTAAAAATGTACTTGAAAAGACATGGCAGCTTTTATTAAAGAGAGAAAAAACAAGATGACCTGTGCCTCATGTCCTCAGCTCTGATCAAGGGAACACTTGATACCTCTCCTCTGATTAAAGAGCAGATGAAGTTTCTGTTTGTTTTGAGAGTGAGGAACATTAAGTCAAACCATGTTTTGGTTGAAATGAAAAGACATGCTATATACTGAACAAAATTAGTCTGATCTCAAGGCTCATTTTCATATACTAAAGTTAGAAGTACCATTCCCTGACAGCCCACTTCAGTTTGCATTAGATCGCTCACCTAAACACTATTCTGGACACAGTTAAAAGAATGAGAAGGATTTCCAGATTTGGTTCAGACCTTGTAAAGCCATTCATTTGGAAAAACTGAGTCATCAGGTACAGTTTTGAAAAATTTTTAACATGTACATGGATAAGCTCTACTTTGGTGTTTGCCTGAAAGGCAGAAATTTAACCTCAAATTAATATCAAATGACTTATGGCTAGTAGCTTATCAAACTTCTGCATTTTTTTAAAAAAGATTTCCTTCCTCATTCACCTAAAAACATTGTGAAATGCAATAACATATTGGAAAACTATCTTGGTTTTAAACCTTTCATATCTGGATCCAGAGTGTCAAAGGTGGAATTGTCCGGTTCTAAAATCCTCCATTGCACTCTACTGATAATGCTGGCTATATGTATGGACCAATTTCTCTGACCTACTCCGATACACAGCCATGTTTCTATAACATCATTACTATTAATCTCAAAAATTGTACTAATGTCAAGAATTAAAGCAATGGTGTCAAATATTTTAGGTCAGTGATTTTCAACCTCTGGAACTCAGTGCCCACAGACATAAGATTTTGAAAGGGGTCTACATCATCACCTAACATTTTTAGGAGGACAGCAAATGGAAAAAGTTTACTACCTAAAACACTGGTTCTTAAACTATAGTCAGTTTGAAATTGAATTTTCCGTTAATATTTGCCATTAACCTTCTGGAATGGCCAGTGAAAACTTAAGTAAAGCTGTACTCAAAGCAATGTGGAGAGTGCACATGTAAATCTGCTCAAAGTTTGCTTTGAGCTTAGGAGCTACCATATAGTTGTGGCATTTCTTGGTGGAGAAAATTTAAAAGGGAGCCTATAGCCCTCCCCAGGGAAAAATTTATCACAATGGAAGATTACATTTTTAAATTATTGCAATTTATGGCTCAATGAGTCAACATACTTGGCTGAAGCCTTTTGAAATGATCCCTCCACCTGCTACAAGTCACGAAGTAACTATGCCTTCTATATCTGAGCCAGTAGGATATGTACCCTACAGCCTACTTCCTATCACAGGGAATTCTTCAGGCACTTAGGACCCTAACAGGCCATTCTCATAGCAGCAGGCCTAGCAATAAATTCAGGGTGTTAATCTAGTATTTGGATTTGTTTCAAGAGGTAGCAGGCAGACTTATGTACACTGAACTAATTTTATTCTTTACAGTAATTTAGGCAGATCTTATTTTTCCAAAAAGTATTCTTTTTGTTAAAGCTAAAGTGAAATCAGGCAGGTAAACATCTATTTCCATTGGAATCTCCCCCTCTCTCTCTCTCCACTGTTGTACTCTTTTCCTTCCAAAAAGCAACATACTGAACTTCTGTAGCTACAGTATCAATGCAGATTAGACACCAGAAAGACTACAGACAAGACAAGAACCCTTAGAGCCCTTCAGGCCAAAATCTGTCTGCAATTTATTTATTTATTAAAACTGACCATGACATTTCTTCCCTCCTGCTTCAGTTCTGTAGATTGTATCTCAAATACTATAATACATCACTGTCTAAACACTACAATAGCTCCTTCTAGCAATTAAAACGGACTTTTAAAAGACTATGCAAAAACTGAGCAGAAAAATGCTACAGCAGAAAGTGATTCTGAAGACAAAAGAATACAACCTGGAAAGCTCAGATTTTCTGGCACAATACTGGTTATTACATATTACTGAAGAAAGCTAAGCTTTTTTTCCTTTTAAACACCCACCATGTGGCACTTGAAACAGTTCTTCAAAGGGGCAATTCAACAAAAATATGTTGTCATGCCCTTCACCTCAAATCCTCACATGATAAAAGAGTGTGTGAGATTAAAACCTTTACCAAGCGTTTGAAGAAAAAAGAACTGTAATAGGAACTTCACCCACTGCTCCAATAATACAATGTCAAAAGCAACCATT